CGACCGCTACTGAAGTTCTATACCAGATCTGCTCTGTCCAATCCTCACCTTTGTCCACCAATTCATGGCCCATATAATAACATCGCCAGCTGAATTTTAAATTGTCCTCCTGCACCATTTCTCACACGCGCCACCAAATTGTTGACATAGTTAGTTTCGTCTACCCGGGTATCTCCACTCTCTATTGCATTTAACACCCGTTATTTGGTTTGCTTTCCTTCACTCAAAATTTCTTATCCTAACGAAAAATCAAAAGGTAATGGCCTAACACCTACTTAGCATATGACGTTAACTGAAAATTTACTTTATAAGATTTATTCAAATATTTTTGTTTAAACAATCGCGATACATGTCAGCCTCCAAACATTAGTATACTGCTGCTACACATATATACTACAAAATGTACAAATGAATTATTAAATAAAACAAAAGGAAACATTAAATGAAGATAGAGATAGCTACATAAATTGAGCATTAACTTACTTTTGTGTTTGTAAAAAAAGTGTCAACCATGATAATTTGTAAATTCTTCAAGTGCTTATGTGGCAACAAACTATTGTTGAATTGCCATAGATAGATAGATAGATAGATAGATTTTAAACCTTTATTTGATTAATGCATAGGTCAGTGGTTAATGAACACATGATGTTTAACATACAGTTTAGCAAAGATCCAGCTAACTTTCACATGTATCATTTTTTAATGTATCTCGTGTCTCATCTTAAGATATGAAGTCAAGTTCATAAACGATCATACCGAAGCCATTTTGAAAATTTTGATTTATAATCCTTGAAAATTTATTACTCCAAGTTTGAAAATTAAATTTCTTAGCATATGACGTAAAACTCATTAGAGTTTGCTCAATTAACACGATCTAGAGCAAAAATGCAAAATATTACTAATTTGAACCTAGGATATATTGTAAATTATTGCACACCTATGATTCATATGTCTTCACTTAATTAGAATGAATAAGGTTTTTGTTTAAGAAATAGATTTTATTGCTTGGTCAAGTTTCTATTCAAACGTTTCTTGTTTTCTCTCTTTAATTTTCATCTTTATTTTGTCGCTATAAAATGTTATTATGTATGTGTGTTTGTATAAATTGTTCATTAAAATGTAACATATTTGTAAATTATTTTAAAAGTGAGTTAAAAGTTTACTTAGTGAGCTTTAATAAGATATTTATTTGGTTGAGAAAAAAGTTATATGTGTGACTCAAAGACAATAGTCTATTGTTGTGTACATCAATACAATGCAAAAGTAAAAACAAAAACATAAAGGAAGTATTGGAAAAGAAAATTAAATATTAAAAAAATTAGAGATAACAAATGTAATATATGTCACTTTTCATACATTATTTATTATTGTGTACATTGATATAATACAAAAAAAAGATAAAAGAGAAATGAAATATTAAATGAAGAGAGAGATAGCTCCATAAATATATCAATAACTATTTTTCTTTTTGTAAAAATATTATGGGTTAATTGCATGGTTGGTCACTAACATTACAAAAAGCGTTCATGTTTGGTCACTGAAAAAATTTAAATCCATTTTTGGTCACTAACTTTACAAAACCAGTTCATTTATGGTCACTCTCCGTTAGCTGCCGTCCAACGCCGTTAACGGCGTCCGTTAAGTGATGACGTGGCTGACGGATTCGCCTAATCAGCACCTTTTGACCCTAAAATTGACCGCCGCGTCATTTAAACCCGCCATGTCAGCTAAACCTAACCAAACCTAACCAAACCTCTACCCAAACCCGAAAAGACCCAACCCGCTAACTAAAACCAAACGATTTTTGGACTAAACCCTATTCTAATCGCGCAGCCTTCCTCCATCGCAGCCTTCCTCCATCGCGCAGCTTCCTTCCTGGAGATTTCTCCGATCGCGAATTCGCCGGCGGCGCAGCCTTCCTCCCTTCCATCCGCGCAGCCGGCGCAACCTTCCTCCCTTCCATCCGCGCAGCCTTCCTCCCTTCCTCCCTTCCGTTTTCTTCCTCCATCGCGCGCGGCTGACTTCCCCCCTTTCGCGAGCAGTTAACCCAAACCCTAAATCGAAGCTTCGAAGCTTCGATTCTCCTCCACTCTCTGACAACGAGGCCGGTTCCCTTTGTTTATTCGATTCTCCTTCCACTTTCTGAGCAGTCAACAAAACCCTAAAGGTGAGTTTCTGCCTTTTCTTTGTTTATTCGAGACCTGTCTGGAAAGACTGAAAAGGAGAAAAGAATAGGGGACAGAGGAAAGAATCTCATGTGTGTTATTGCTTTTGGGGGTTCACTGTTAGCTTTCTTTTATACTAAATTGCATGTTGTTGTTGGTTTTCCAGGTCACCATTTCACCGAAGGCAGCATGGTGGGGCATGTGCGGGCTCCAAATGAAACTCAGCCTAACTATGGTAAGTCTCCCGTCGTTTTCGCCCTTGTCATTATGGTAGATGGCTGGTTTTGATGGTAGATGGGTGGTTTGGGTTGTCCTTTTCCACAGTTGGCATTTACTAGAGATGAGGACATCACTTTGGGTAGAATAGGAATAGAAAAATGCAGGGTTCTGTGGGAATGAGGAAAAATGCAGCCTTAGGGTTTGACTTAGTCTTTCTTTGAATAGAAAATGGTGGGACTTGACCACCTACTTACCTGCTCCATAACTGCTCATTTCATTTTAAATTAACTCCTTTCAATTGCTTTTTTTTTTTTGACCAAACAGCTACTTCAAGTGGAGAATTCACATTTGCAGTTCATGTGTCCCATGAAGTGAAAGAGGTTGGCGGCAAACATTTCCTCAATGAAACCTCCACAGTGCATTGGGACTACTAGGCCACAACAAGGCTTTTCATGATCCAGCAAGGAAACAGAAGGCAGAAGAAAGGAAGAAAGAGAAGGCAGAAGCAAAGAAGAAGCAGCAACTTGAAAGGGCTGAGCGAAACCGACTTGCTGCATTGAAGAAGCAGCAAGAGAAAGCTGCAAAGGCAGCCACTTCTTCGTCTAGGCAGCCCCCACACGTGGTTCAACTCATGCCAGATGTAAATGTTTATGACTTTCTTCATTTCCCCGGCTTATTAAGAATTTCCAGCATACTAATGTAGGTTAATTTGCAGGGAAGTTCTCGAAGGCCATCATCAAGTCAAGGCTCTCAACTCTCACAGATTGCAAGCCAAGTGACTCAAGAAGAGCAGTTGTGAAGAGTAGATTTAAGTTATTGTGAATGGTTATTTTGAACTTTTAAACTCTAAGGCTTCTTGCAAATCAATGTGGATTTGCCATTTTGTCATACAAGTGCAAATCAATGTTGATTTGCCATTTTGTCATACAAGTCCATGGAGAAGGAACTTGTTAATTATGCATGGCTCTTTTGGACAACATAGCCGTTAATTAGATGTGATCTGTTTGTTTCCGACTTAACTGTCAAATAGTGTAATGCAGAACAGTTAGGTATTGAGGTGTTGTTCTAAATCTGGCTTTTCATGTTATTGGAGTGACCAATTGTGGACCTTCTCATGTTTTTCAGTGACCAAATGTGGACCTTTTCATGTTTTTCAGTGACCAAATGTGGACCTTCTCATGTTTTTCAGTGACCAAATGTGGACCTTCTCATGTTTTGCAGTGACCAAATGTGGACCTTCTCATGTTTTTCAGTGACCATATGTGGACCTTTACATGTTTTTGAGTGGCCAAATGTGACCTTTACATTTTTTGAGTGCCCAATTGTGGAGCTTTAGGTTTTTTGAGTGACCAATCGTACAACTAACATTACTTTCAGAAACAAAACGTGAAGGGTTAATTTTCTAGGGTTACAGTCTACAATACAGAAACGATTACATCAGCAAGGTTGAGCAAATAGCTTCTTACATCCCCAATCCCATCCAGATGAAAGAAAAGACAAGAGCAATCACAAAGAAGATGAACACTGGACAGCCATTAGCTTTGGACCCTTGCCCATTTTGCCTCTTCTCGAGTTCCCGAATCCGACGATGAAAGTTCAGCAGCACAAACTTCATATGTTCGTCAACTACTGGGTCATGCCATCTGAAGAAATTACATGCCCCATCTGTCTACAGATCCAACCACAAAAACAGAGAGGGATGAAGGAGAGGATGGTCTAATGGTATACAAATCAAAGCAGAAAAGTCAGAAATCTTACCCCATACTTGCTGCACCCGTAGAACCTCCTCCCTGGATTCGCCTCTGTCCAGCTCGTCTTGAGATCTGATGCCAATCCACAACGACAGAAAGGTGTCGCCATTAGCAGAGGAGAAAGCGACCAACAGAGGAGAAAGGGATGAGAAGAAAACAGAGCTGCGAAGGTTTTGGGAAGATGATAGGTTTCTTCTGCCCAGAAAACGACCTAAATAACATAGATGAGTGGGTGGGTTGGGTCTTTTCGGGTTTGGGTAGAGGTTTGGTTAGGTTTGGTTAGGTTTAGCTGACATGGCGGGTTTAAATGACGTGGCGGTCAATTTTAGGGTCAAAAGGTGCTGATTAGGCGAATCCGTCAGCCACGTCATCACTTAACGGACGCCGTTAACGGCGTTGGACGGCAGCTAACGGAGAGTGACCATAAATGAACTGGTTTTGTAAAGTTAGTGACCAAAAATGGATTTAAATTTTTTCAGTGACCAAACATGAACGCTTTTTGTAATGTTAGTGACCAACCATGCAATTAACCCAAATATTATCCACCTTGGCAATTTGTGAACTCTCCAAGTGCTTAGGTGGCAAACAATTACTTTTGAATTGTCATAATATTATGTATAGATAGATAGATAGATAGATTTTGGCCTCAAGCCCTCAACTATGACCATATAATCAACTTTGGCATGTGGTTTGAGAAATTAACATCCTAGCCCGAACTTTGCAGCATAAATACTCATTTGGATCGGATCGTGGTTTGGCCATTTGTTTGGACGGTCAACATCGTTGACCGTTAGTCAACTGTCCAAGTCATCGCCATGTCAGCAACCAAAGAAATAAAAAATTCGGAATTGAATTTTCTTTCTTATTAATAGGAAATTCTCAGAATGGAAAACACCAAACTCAGAATCACCGGAACCAATTCTTGATCCCCCGCCGCCACCTTCTCTTCCACCATATCCTCCCTCGCTCCTTTCTTCCCCGCTATCGCCGCCAAATCCTCCTTGTCTTCCACAATCACATCCCCCTCTTCCTCCGCTGTCAATTCAACGGTCTCGTACTCCACCTCCATCGACATCGAGATAACCGCCGCCGCGTCCTCCGCTGAAGTCGCGAATGCCTCGGCCTCGATCCGCATCGCGCGGAGAGTCAATTGAAGCGAGTGGAGGCTCTGCCTCCGCACACGGAGCACCTGCTTCATCTTCATCCGCTTCCTCAGCTGCTCATCGGCCTCCATCTTGATCGCCTCCAGATTCTTGCACCTCTGGTCGACGACCAGCGTCAATTCGTTCGTCGCCTTCATCACCTTCACTTTGCCCTTCACCTTCGACCTCACCCGCCGTTGAGTCGCCTCCAGCACCGATTGCAATTTCGAGATTGCTGCCCTCGCTGTCGATCCCCTGTTCTTGGCGGCGTCCAATTCGGACTGCACCTTCTCGAGCTCGTCGATCTTCGAATCTTCGATGGCGGCAACGACGTCTTCAAACGCCCGGCCGCAGCTGCATTTTACTCGGGGAGAATGCCACTCATCAGGAATAAGGGAGAAGAAGAATGGTTGGGTAGGGTTAGGAATTTTTTGGTTTTGCACGAAGAAGGAAAGAGGCGAGAGGATAAGGGGCGATAGGTGGTTGATAGATTTTGTTTTTTTTTTTAATTAGGTAAAGGAAATAAAAAGAAAATTCAATTTCGAATTTTTTATTTCTTTGGTTGCTGACATGGCAATGACCTGGACAGTTGACTAACGTCAACGGTGTTGACCATCCAAACAAACGGTCAAACCACAATCCGGGCCAAATGAGTATTTATGCTACAAAGTTCAGGCCAGGATGTTAATTTCTCAAACCACATGCCAAAGTTAATTATATGGTCATAGTTATGGCCAAAATAAGATATTAACCTTTTCCCTTTTAATTTGAGGACCCGAACAATCCACTACCACCATTCCAAATTATCTCCCCATCCATTAATATTTAATTCCAAGCTTGCCTACTGGTTTCAGTTTTCCGTATTGAATCCAGGCCGATTCTCCTCCCTGCTCCGCCATGATGAGATCCTCTGGTTTCATGCGTTTGGTTCCCCGGCGACGCAAGGATTGGCCTTGCCAACATCTCGTTGTTGTTTGTAATGCGAAAAGAGACAGCTTAGGGGAAGGGTCTGAGCAGCCACCGCCGCTGTTTAATGCCCCTCAAATGTTTTTAGAACCGAGACCCTTACTAACTCCAAGTCCAATTATATACATACACACATGTACACACATGGTTGGTTACAGGGGTTTAACTTAGGTTTAATTAGTATATACTCCACAATCAATGGAGAGTAGTTTGGGTATTTCATAAGTCTCCTAAGACCGGGTGGTATAACTTATCTTAGTTAACGAGATCAACCAATTAGGCTACTCTCCTAATTAAAGTGCTTAAAAAAATGTCGTAGCTTCGTTTTGGTCCATTTGAGTTATGGTACTCAATCGTCGACCCAACTATGTATTTATTATGATCAAACCATAACCGAAAATCGGAGTGTTATAGTTTGGTTTGCGGATTGCGGATAGTTCTCTAACCGCACCAAACCGCACACTTTATGGGTAACAATACCCACCACAATTTGTGAATATTGGGTTGGGTGTGGGTAGCAAAATATTGATTTTTGTGGTTAGTGGTTTAACACTATCCACATCGGCTAACCCACAATAACCACACTAAATATATTTATTTATTATTAATACTTTGTAATACTGAAGTATGCGAAAAGTAGAACGCTACAAATTAAAGTAGCCTCCAAAATTAAATACGTATGTATTTATAAAACAAAATCAAGACAATAACTAGTGTCTGTATGAGATACTTTTATTAAATAAGCATTGCCCACGTGGTATGTGTTTATTTTATAACAAAACCAATCAATAAATGTGACTTGTAGTTTATTAAATACTTTATTAACTTTCTTTTATGTAGGATTTTGTTTGTGTAAGAAGACGTTAATTCAGTAACTCATGAGAGAATTTCATTTATGCTTAAAAAATTCAAATAAAAAAAAAGGAATCATATAGCTGATAAAGATGTTATGTATATTTAAATTAGATCCCCTCCAACCCATACTCGTTATCAATGTGCATTTCCTAAAAGAAAATGAAGTGACTTGTAAACAAGTGAAGTGAGCCGAGGAGAGGGAGGTTGACTACTTAGGAAGTTCTGAATACTGGATCTTCACTCATTCCATGCCTTGGGCTTCTTTGACTTAGTTTTTAACTCAATGTGTGTTTTTTTACCGCCACTCGACCCATAGGCTTATCATATACGAGCCCGAAGAGCGAATGAACGAAATTTTTGTGGATATCCACATATCCAACCCGCACCAACCAACTGCGGTGTGGGTTGTGGGTAGCATAATTCTATATTTATGGGTATGATTAACCGCAAAATGTGAGATGGGTAACCATACTCACCCCATTTACACCCCCTAATTAATACCACTACAAATTCCAACTATTAAAAAAATGCAACTTGTTAGGTCCCATCTTATTCAATATTTAAAAAATGTCATGAACTATTTTTCGTTAATGATGGCCTTGATCGTTAATATTGAATAGAAAGTCTAGTCAGCGTTAATGTGACATCTTGATGTGACATCTAGGTTCATTCCCCTTCTCAAACTGTTCGTGACCATCGTGATATTTTGATTTATGGGATCGCCATCGTACTGCATCGGGTTGCACCGGAACTCTCGAACCGTGTTGTCGTAAACTCTTGATTTGGGCTCATTTACACATACTTTACCCCTCATTTCTCATTCGTTTGACTTGTTAAATCATCGTCACTCGACCTATTTTATGTTAGGGTGTGCTATTTTTGTTATATTTCAAATCCTAGCACGTGTGAGAAGGTCGATGACAAGTTTTGAGATGATTGGAGGTCGAAAAGCGCAAAAACCGGAGAAAAGTCCAAAGTCACCGTGACAATTGCCCCGTGACCGTATGAAGTTGGCCAAGAAACAGAACATTTAGCGCACCTCACTGGACCTCAAGTTTTTCACGTTCGCCAGACCGTGAAAATCAACCACGGGCCGTGATGTTCACGGTCGAAGCATCCTCCAGCGTTTTTTGCCAGGATCACGGTCGAAGCTTCATGTTCACGGCCACGAACAATGACCGTGAATCGTCACTGTCGGGCTGAATAAAAAGACAGTCGCAGGGAGAGAGAAGGAGGAGCTGGTTTTTGGAGAAGAACTTGGTTCTCTCTCTAGGGTTTCAACCTAAAACATCAAAGGGGAGTTCTAGTGAGAGAGAGAGAGCTCTTGAGTGATTCTGGAGCTTAATTGAAGGCATTGATCAAACTTGGAAGCAAGGAATCAAGCCTAGAAGAAGATCGTGTGCTCCAACTTGTAATTTCTCTCTTCTCTCTCTAGAAACTCACCCTCTTCTCTTGGGATTAAGAACCCTAGGTCTAGGTTTTGATTTTATGTTGATGTATGTGACAAATTCCATATTTGATTGATGATTTTACTTAATTGTTGGATGTTCTGATGAATGGAATGTGTTGGGTTTCCATTTTCATGTATTGAGCTTTTGACCTAGGAGGGAGAAAATCCCCTTAGAGCCCACTATTGGCGTCTTCGGGTCACTAAGCCTATCGTATATTTTCCGAGTAATCCCCGAGGGAATTTGATTTGATCTACTTCCTAGCAATATATGAAACCTAGGTTGAATAAAGTTCCTACCCATCCACCGATTCACCATCCCTGGTCGATCACGAGGGAGTCTATCTCCAAACGGTAAAATTGAGAGCGCGTAGTACCCCTTTTTGCATGTATCTAATTTTGAAACTACATAAAATGAGGAAAGATTTGAAGAAGCTTTCACACGAGATGCAATATTACTGTAAATCCTTTTGTCTTCAACTCGATCTCCATTCCATTTGAATGAATTTATTTTATCAGGTATTATAGATTTGGAATTTTTGAAAAAAATATGATTTTATACTAATTTTTTGTGATAAATGTGACAGTGATGCACACTTGACCGCTAATCCCCGCCAAAACGTTGAAAAAGTAAAAAATAGAAACAAAGGACGGAGTGATGGTAAGACCCAATCTTAATCTAACCGGTATGATATTTAAATGCTTATGTTTTCTCTAATATTTAGGTTAATGCATACTTTATCCAATGGAGAGTTGTACAAATAAGAATTGAGGCTGCGATTTTGATGCATAACCTACTTCAGACATGATGACATGACGCAAACTTATCTGAGAACAAATAATAAATTTTGAGTGTCAAAAATAAATTATGATTTCATAGTAATTATTTTTTCGAAAAATGTGATAGAGATGTACCACCTTCTCCGACGAGAGTCAAAGATTAAACCCGGTCATAAATCCCCACCAAAATATTTAAAGAGATAAATAGATTGAAAATAAAGGTTTAGAGGTTGTAAAGCTTAGTTTTATTCATATTTAATAGTTAACGGTATCTCTAAAATTTAGGTCAACATATATTCATTCATAATTTTCAAAAATAAGGAATGATGTTGCAGTTTTGGTACATAACCTTTTTTGTTTCCCTCAGCTACTCTAATTTAAGCACGAATATCAAACGTTGCAGCTAAGAGTTTTTTCGATCTCTCACAAACTTTTTACTAACTATAGTTCTTTCTTTTAATATGATTAATTGAAATCTATCAATGAAAAAGATTACAAATGCTATGACTAGTATTTTTTGAGAAGTTATAATAACATAAAAGACTACACCCGCTAGGTAACATTATCTTAATCTTTCATTCTTTTTTTACTACAAATTCATTCGAGAAAAGAACATTGAACCCACTAAAACATATAGTTTTAGACTAAATATTGTTCTATCATTTTATAAATCCAGGTTCCAGTTTCGAGTTATGTGGACAGTTGCAAATATTTAATTTGTTCTTAATGCTCAGTGTATTTGGTGATGGAGATAATAACGATTTGAGAAAAAGAAAAAGGTTGTTGATGATGGAGAAATAAATTTCAATGATAAGAGATAAAGAGAGAATATATATTATAATGTTGATGGATTGAATAAGATAAATTTTATTAAGTGACAATTATGTTTCATATGAAAACTTTCCAATACTTAAATAATTTGAACTCTTTTCTAATACAAAATAAAGCGTCATTTTCATCAAATAATAGTTATTGACTTATTGTGTTTATGCCATAAATGATATGTATCCGTCAACTTTAGTTACGGTAAAGACAAACTTTCCTCTTAAAACTTGAATGATGAATGAAATTCATACTTAATTGTTTAATAATTACTGCCATTTAAACACTCTTATTTTCCGAGGACTTTAGTTTTGTCGCAACCAAGAAAGACTTCCGAGGGGTGAACTGAAGAGTCAAGTCACTCATCCTCATCCGTCCGCAACCACTCTCTAATTGCTTCTATTACTTTTACTCCTACATATCTAGCATAAATGGCGTCGTTAAGAATTCTGAAGGAGCAAGAGATGGAGACCAAAATATTCAAATGGAAACTTCCGAATTTATCCAACTTGCACGACGGAATGCTTCTGGAGTCAAATGAATTCCTCGTCGGTGGTTGTGCTTGGTTTGTAGTCCCTACGTTACCGTACCTAGTCTCCTTTCTCGACCGGTCAACCGACACTTTCTATTTGACTGCTCCGGCGACCCTTTTCTCTGTTTTCCGTTTGAGCAGGAAGATTGTTGCAAGGATAGAATCTCCGGTATTTTTGATCGGCAAAGAGTCGGAGAATGAGTGTGAAGTGGAAATTGATCTCTCTTTGGATTTGGATTGTTGCTCCGGTCCAGTATCAAGCGCCAGTCGTGGTCGGAAAATATATGCCGAGTACACCTTCACCGTCATCAACATGGCCGATGGCTACTCCTTAACTGACGGTCTATCTATCTATCTATCTATTTTCTAGTGTTGTGCATTCTTGTGGGTATTTCAGGGTTTTACACGATTCAGTTGATTCTTACATCCAATCACATTTTGAATTTGTATCAGGTTATAGTTTATCATTGAATCGTTGATTCATAGTTTATCATTTATAATTTAAAATAGAAATTATATAGTCTATAGATGATTGAGATACTAATTACTATTAAATAACATGATATGAACAATTAAAAATCATCATCAATGCATCATGAAACCTAATTGACATGTTAACCCCTCTCCCACTAATTTGCAGGTGGCAAAAGGCATTTCAAAGTGGGTGGGGAAAGCTGGGGATCCCCAACTCTCTTCCAAGGATTGACCTATGATGAGGACATTATAGTCGTTGAAGCTCAAGTTTCAACATTGTCATCTGTGCCACCAAAGTCGACAAAGCAACCTGGTAGAGATTCATCATCAAAAAAGAGAAAGCAACCTGAAGGAAGAAACCCTCCACCTCTTGCATTAGTCTCGCCCAATGTAGAGATATATATATTCTAAATCATGTCCATGAGCTCATTGTTTGGATCTAGCTAGCTACGTACCTTCACCACATGCATGGCTGACTTATAACTTTGCTTTCTCGGTTTCAGGTTGCTCGAACCACAACCATGACGGGTTCACTGGTGCCTTTGTCAAGCTTGCAACTGACCACAAGGAACCTAATAGCTCAACTCTCACCATTGATGTGTAGTGGATCAAAACTCACTACTCCAGCTGGAGCTTGTCTGCCGCAACAGGACAGGAGAAAACTGGTCACCTTCTTCGAGATGACGGTGGAGGCCATCTTGAAAGCCAATGCGTTCGATGATGTCGAGAAAATCGTCAGGAAAATGGCTGATTATCAGCTCATGCCAACTGACCATCATCATCCGCTAAAGAACATGCTATCCCGTCTGGCGGAGTTTAAGGATGCCATCCCTGCCTCTCTGACCATGATTGAAAGTTGCAGTGCCATTGAGACGTCGAGAGCAAGGAATGTTAAGGATTTGGAAAGGAGGCTGGCTCAGAAGCAAAAGGAGCTGAGTGTTTTGGAATCGGAAGTCTCGAGGCTTGGTGTAGAAGAGGCGAAGCTGGAGGCCCAGATTCGGGCTCTCGTTGCCTTTAAAGAGAAAATGGCTGGTGCTAGGGCTGCAAGGGAATCTGAACTGGTGAAGATCAACGGAGAGGCCACCAGGGAAGTAGAAGAACTGAAGAGGCAGGTGCACGAATGTAACCAAGCTGGTGAGAGTAAGATGGTGGCCAAAGAGAAACTCGCCCAGTTCAATGCAAGTTGGAAGCTCTTCAGAGACTACTTGGGGTTTTAGTGGTTAGTAATAGAACAAGGAAAATTTTAGATTACTGAAATCTGGCTGAGTCGCGGACGTCGCTCTGTTTGAATCGTTTGCGGCACTATGTTCTACTCTCCGATCGTCTCCAGAATAAAACAACCTTCTATTCTAATTCGTTGGTTTTGTGTGGAAACCCGAAGCTCCTTGAATACTCTTTCTCATGTTTTTGCTCATTTGTGGTGTGTATAGAGGGGTTTAGGAGACGGCTACTACTAGTAGCCAGATCCCCCGAATATACCATCTGACTTGGCGAATAAGTCAAATTAATTAGGGAGATAATCATCTTGTTAATTAAACGCGTCTGTTAAGATAACTCTCGGCAGAATTATCTCTCGAATATTCCTTTTTAATATATCAATTATCTCGGAACTGTTAAGGATACATAATAATTTATTAATAAAAAATTAATTTTGGAATTTTTCCGAAATATATTAATCCTTCACTCACTCACTCACTCACTCACTCGACCGACCGACAAAAGGCGCGCGCCTGTGTTGGTGGTCCGTTAGCTTATCCCTCTCCCACAAAGTGGGTCACGTGCATGCCCTTAGGTGAGAGAACCCAATTTTTATAATCATTTGGTAGGAGTTCTCCCACCAATGTGATATTCTTGTCTTAGGACATAGAGCTTTCAACGTTATTCAGAAGCTTCATTTCCAACCATAGTGACTTGGGAAGGTGGGTATTGCTTTTTGTTGTTTTGTTTTGGTACATGCACTTTCAGAGTATCACTAGTGCTAACCGGGGGGGGGGGGGGGGGGGGGGGGGGGGGGGGGGGGTTTGCTAATCATGTTGGAAGTTTTGAAGATTAGGGAAACTTTTGTGAGACTTTGCATCCAGTTTGACTCAAAAACAGCTAGCTAGGTACGCTTTTTGGAGGTTGGAGCTTTTGTGAGTCATACATACAGGGGAAGATGGAGCCCCAAATTCATCCAAGTAACTAATTGATCTGTGTTTATTACAGATATTGCTACTCCTTTGTGAGTGTGACTCGTCCCGAATACTACAATAAAACTCCCAGTTAAGCCGCAAATATAAACCTTAACTGGATGCAGTATAGGGCAAGTATGTTTAAATATCGACCCGGGTCGGTTCATGTACCCCTACTTAGATTGCTTGAGACATTATTTAGCGGTTGATATTTGGTGAAAACAACAATCTATAGATAAAGTGTTTGCAAAGGTAAATAGATTTGACACTAATTGAGAAGGCTTCACCTGGGTGTTGCTGCCCCTAGCTAACAATTATGACTTGTTGGATCGAATTGTCGTGTGTGGTGAGGGGGTTGTAAACCGTAGGAAAGTGCAACAAGTAGCCAAGCGCCACTCTCTTGGTCTCTAGGTAGCGGGAAGGAGATATGATCCAAGCCACCAACGTGACTCTCTCGGCCTATTGACTAAGGGTTGGTTAAACTTCACTCTCGAATCGAATTTCAGACGGCCACTCATAAACAAACCCTAGGTGCTAATATGAAATAAGAGGTTTTCCCTGCATTAACCTAGATAGGAGACAATGAATTGCCTAAGAAAACCCAGCATTCAAGCCTCTTTCAAAGAAATGAAGGGGGTTTTCTCTCTACCTAGGTTAGAATGGTAATTAGATTGATAGGCTTTCACACAATTCAATCATTCATGAATAATACCTCCATATTCACATCAAACACAACCACAACCACACACAAATCATTCAATCCATACAAGCATTCACATAATTGTAGCTAGGGTTTACAAACACTCAAGTGAAAGAAGGGACTACACCATGCTAGGAGAAGGGAAAACACAAGAGAGAAGAAGGAAAACCATCAATGAGATGCTAGCCTTGCTCCTTGTGTTGAAGAGATCCTCTTTGGGGGAGGAATTCCCAATTTCTTGCTTGAAGATGAAAATCTAGCTTCTCCTCTTCTTTGGTTCGTCAGTTTCTCACTCTAGAAATCTAAAGAAGAAGAAGTTTCTCACACTAGGTCTCCCCCTATTTTCCCTTTAACTCAACCTCCTTTATATACCCAGATTGGGCTTAGATCACGGTCTTAGTTCACGGTTGTGAACTGAAAGCTCAGACCGTGATCTCAAGTCAAAACGTGTTGCATCATGAGTTGCAGTTCACGGGCAACGGCCTGAGTTCACGGTCTTACGACTGTGAACAGACTTGTGTCCAGTGAAAGCAATTTGTGCTTTGGATGCCTGGCTGTTCACGGGTAGCGCCTCTAGTTCACGGTCTTAGTGACCGTGAACACACAACCCAAACCGTGATCTGCTGCTACTTCCACCCTTTGACTTGATTTTTTACCTTTCGTCCAACTTTCAACTCCGGGGTTGGTTCCACCTGCCAAAGTATGAAAACACCAAAACAAGGAAAAACCAGACGTAAAAACCAAACCTCCTGGAGTAAAAATGCTTCAAACGATTAAGCAAATCGGGGGATAAAAAGTGTACAAATGAGCCCGAATCACTCCCCCACACTTAGACGTTTGCTTGTCCCCAAGCAAACCATTTTTGACCTAGGTGATATCTCAACCTAACAAGATAACTTGGGGACAAATCAAAAGGCACAAAGCGGTGAATCTCAATGATTATTGGGCATCAACACATGAACCACCTCAAACAATACCGACATCCACACTCAGTCCTATCGTCTCTCCACCACGGTGTCAACCTCTAGATGCTAATGTTCATGGGACGATTGTCATCACTAGCTTGTGCGAAGGTTTTAGACACGGGTTCAAATGACTGGCAAAGTCTTGGACATGGGAAAAAGGATTTTTGGGTGGTGGCAAACATGGCATGAGATCCTACATCTTTAACCTAAAACCAAAGGTTCTATGGTCTTGACTAAGAACATTTCCTACAAACAAAGGCCACTAACATCGGGCAAAAACCACACTTCCCTTCTTCCAAACCACTACCAATCACGAACTACATTCAAGCACACTTCTTCGGCCTATCTTGCTATTCACATTTCAAACCTATTAGTGATGGATGAAACAATTTAGGTGTTTCAATGGCTTGGGTGACAAGAAACCTTTTCTAGAGCATACACTTAGACTTTTGTGGCCACTCTATACTTTTATTTAACCCATTTTATTACCACTTTTCCTTTTTTTCTTTCTTTCTTTTTGATCTTTCTTTCTTTTTCTCTTCTCTTTTTCTTTCGAGGGGGGTACTAGAGAGCTAAACACCTGTCACTTCTTTCATATAATGAACAATGCTATCCATTTAAGAACTTTCCTCCGACACTACCTTCTCATTTCTAGCAAGAACCGTGTAAAATCACCTATGTAGAACCTCAATGGAGCTCAAAAGCAAGAACTCCGAGACACAAGCTAAGGATGACTCTCTCTTTGACACGAAGAAAGGATGGGTGGGGGTCGTTCTTTCAATCACCATTAAACTCATCAAGAACGAAGCTCCTAGCATTAGAACGACCCCCAAAGTCACACGGCTCAAAGGGGTTGACTAGGGGATAAAATGTTTCGGGACAATCAAATTTTGGGCGTGGACTAATCCTATGCCTCCATCATACTTACTAGTGAAAACGGTGAATGTTACACGCCATGGCGAGAGGGATCTATCACACATGAAAAAGAGAATCGGCACAAAACTCACATGGCTACCTAGCCGCCCAATCATCTATTCCAATTTCAAAAAATGCATGCCAATTGTAATCAAGAAGTAACCAAGTCAAGACATCCATTCATTTAAGCACACGTGAGAACTAAGCTTTTACACAACCCTAATGCATTCTCAGCAATATAATAGGATGCACTCGATTACATGCAACAATTCATGATCGATGCCAAACAAGCCCGAGATTCACCCACCAACCGGCCATTTTGATCATGCATTGCTTGGAGCCCTCAAAATTTTCAAATTTGGGCATACATCAAGGCTCCAAGCATTCACTCACACACACAAGCATAATAATAAACTACCCCCCCCCCCAACACTTAAGCTCGACTTGCCCTCAATGGCGTAAAATAGGAGGTGAACGATGTAGGATGTTTGAGCTTCAAAGGGAAAACAAAACAAAACATAAACACACACACATTCTCGCTCGATGCGAGGTTATTACGCATAACAAAGTTTCATAATATGATTCAAATAACATACCTTCGTTGGGTTGCCTCCCAACAAGCGCTAGTTTAACGTCTTAAGCTAGACGAAGACTTCATGCTAAACATCATGTAGGAGCACCACCTCCTTTTGGGGCATTACCTCTCCGCCGAGGTAATATTTGAGGTGGTGTACGTTTACTTTGAAAATGCCTTGCTCCGGGTGGGAAATCTCCACCACCCCGTAAGGAAAAACTCGGGTCACCGAGTATGGGCCCTACCATTTTGATCTCAACTTCCCGAGGAAAAGACATAACCGAGAGTTGTACAAAAGCACCTGCTCCCCTGGTTGAAATTCTCCCCGCCCCCTTGAGTCTCGCATCATGCAGACGCTTCGTCTTCTCCTTGTAAATCTTGGTGTTCTCGTAGGCGTGAAGACGCCACTCTTCGAGTTCTAGCACCTGAAATTTTCTCTCATTTCCACACAAAGTAGGGTCCATATTCAACAATTTGGTGGCTCAGAAAGCCTTGTGCTCTAGCTCCATGGGAAAATGACACGCTTTTCCATATACCAATTGGTAAGGCGAGACAACTATTGGTGTTGTGTAAGCCGTGCGGTACGCCCATAGAGCATCATCGAGTTTTGCAAACCAATCCTTGTGGGATTGGTCCATGGTCTTTTCCAGAATCCTCTTTAGTTCCCTATTTGACAATTCAACCTGACCACTTGTTTGAGGGTAGTAGTCCTTGGAAACCCGATGGGTGACACCAAAGCGATCGAGGAGTTTGTCGAATTGCCCTTGAAAATGGGTTTCTCGATCACTAATGATGGCCCTCGGGGTCCCAAAACGTGAAAACAATTTCTTCAGGAATTTGCAGACTCGTCTTGCATCATTGGTAGGTAGGGCTTGCGCCTCCACCCACCTTGAGACGTAGTCCACGGCTACTAGAATGTACTTATTTTTAAAAGACGAGGGAAAAGGGCTCATGAAACAGATGCCCCATACATTGAAAATCTCACACA